ACAAGGGCTACTTAAATTATTGGATTATTGTCTATGTTGGGGGGCAATAAAGGACAGGTTTGAAACTATGTCTCAATAAATGCCACTCTATGGTATCTTTTAAAAGAATAGCAGGTAAGTACAGACCTCCAAGTCATCTTTCCTCCCATCTCTATGTCTTGATTATTTTGTATATTTTAAATCCTCACACAAGATTATGTTTTATTGATTTTAGAGAGAGAGAAAGGGAGAGAGAGAAAAAGAGAAACATCAACAGAGAGGAGCTTCTCTCTGTTGCCTCTAGTACGTACCCCTTTCCCCAGGGATGGAACCTGCAGCCTAGGCATGTGCCCTGATCAGAAATTGAACCTGCGTCCTTTTTGGTAAAGGGAATGGTGCTCCAACCAACTGAGCCACCTGCCCAGGGCTCCATGTCTTGTTTCTTTATTATTAAGTATCTAAGCCTTGTTTATTTCAGCTCACTTGATAATACAGGGAATTTGTCAACTATTAAACTAAGATTCTCAGCATTATTATTGAATTGACAGTTGTTTGCCAGGTCATCTTAGCCTCTCCTGCTCCTGTCTGAGTTCTTGAGACAGTCTTTAAATTGGGGAAAGAGAGGACCTTTGCTCTTTGGAGCCTGTCAGGAAACAATAGGACCTGACCATATAAGGCATTCAGATGATGGTGGAACTTTGGATCTCTGAAAATCTTATGTATTTCTCAGTGTTCTCTGCTAGAGACTGCTCTTCATCTGTCACAGCTCCTCGGAAAGCTCACGATTCTCTGCTGGATACAGCTTCAAGATTTTCCTTACCCACAGCAGCCTATAAAGCAGCAAGCCCTGATGAGGAAAACAAAAGCGAATTTGTTTGGCAAGAGGTTTTCTCTACTATGCACGAAAATAAGGAAATAAAACTGCTTACTCGTGATGGTTCATGTGGGCAGGAGGAGACCCTGAGATTACTTGCTAGCAACAGACCACAGTCTGGAACTCAGCTTTGTGGTGACAGCTTTTCTACAGTTTTACTCTCTTTTTTTTCCCTTCCAGTAGAGTTATATTCTCACATCTAGCACTTCCTAGTATTTCCATCACAGGGAGATATTTACCACTACCCATATGCCCTCTCCCTGTGGTGAGACAAGACAATTCCTCAGATTTCCAGCTTCTTAGAAAGAGTCTTTCTAGACATATAAATGGTGGAGGCTTTGAAGGAAAGAGTTCTATCCTTTGATGCAGCCAATCCCTTTCTCCTTCTTCACTAGGCTCCTGGGGTAACTCACTCTTCTGCTTTTCTCTACATTTCTGGACACACTTTCTTAGTCTTCTTGGATAGACAATTTTAATAATTATGACTTCCGAATGTCATTGGAAGGGTAGGGAGTTGTCCATAGGACTTCTCTTATTCATTGAAATGTACTGTATATATTGATGTCGATGACTCAAATTTAATTTCCAATCCTGACCCTTTTTCTGGCTTCTAATCTCATACACCCAACTACCTGTATTATGTATCCATATATAGATTTCAAAGGAAGATGGAATACTTGATTTCCTCTAAAAAAAATCATCTTTCAATATATGTATTTTGATAAATTGCTCTACCATTTCCTAGTGCCCAAGCCAAAAATCCTTGGGTTTATACTAAATTCTCTCTTTTCCCTTATCCCTAACCCCCCAACCCTATATCTAGTCCAGCAATAGGGTTTCTTGACTTTCTTTTATCTTTAAAGGCACCCTGAATCTGACCACTTTTCACTGATTCCACCATCACTCGAGCCTACAGGACGCTAATCTCTCACCGGATATAGCAACAGCCTTCCGTTACCCTGTACTTTCCCTCACTAGAGTGATCACTGATCTCATTCTCTTCCAGACCTACTCCAGCCATATCGATGTCCTTACTGCAACAAACTGCCACCCAGAGTTGTTTGTACTTGCCCCTCTCGGCCTATGATGCTCTTTCCCTAGATATTTCTGTGACTCTCTGTCATTCCCCTCCGGCCTCCTTTCCAATGTGGTATCATTAGATAAACCTTCCCTGATCCATGTCATCTCAAGTGGCAGACACCTTCCCTCTTTCTTCTCTTATTCTCATTTGTTGTTCTCATAGCACTTTTCTCTAGATGACATTTGTGTTAACCACCTGCCTTCTAGAGAAGAATATAGCTTCATGAGGGTAGGAACTTAATCTTTTTTTTTAATCCTCACCCAAAGACACTTTTATTTTGCAGTTATCTTCTGATAGAGTGTGAGGAAGAGAAAGAGAGAGAGAGAGAGAATCATTGATGTGAGAGAGACACTTCGACTGGTTGCCACCTACACAACCCCAACTGGGGCTGGGGACAAACTGCAACCGAGGTACATGCCTTAGCAGGAACAAATCCGGGTCTCTCTGGTCCACAGGCCGAGGCTCTAACCACTGAGATAAACCGGCCAGGGCCAGAAACTTAATCTTAATATTGCTATATTGCTCGCCTCCAGAACAGTGGAGGCACATAGTTGTTTTTCAGTTTTTATTGAAGAAAAAAAAAATGAATGAAGGAACCACAGTTTGCAACACAAATAGGATACTTATCCTATATAACTAGAACCATTGGAGTGAACAGCTTTCCTCAAGTGGAAGGTCAGTGGTTTTTTAGCTGATATTTTATTTTTCATATTAATGAAATAAACTATTTAAATATTTTTTTTAATGTCATTGCCCTTAAACTGTGACCAGGCAGTTTAATAGTATCACAAACTTCTTTAAATTATAGGAAAATGTATTACTATATATTGTTTGGGAAGTATGGACTTTTTCTTTTTAAGTATATTTTTTTCTTTTATTGATTTCAGAGAAAGAGTGGATGGGAGAGGGAGAGAGAGATAGAAACATTGATGAGAGAGAACACTGATTGGCTGCCTCCTGCATTCCCTCACTGGGGATTGGGCCCACAATCCAGGCATGTGCCCTGACTGGGAATTGAACTGGCGACCTCTGAGTGCATGGGTTGATGCTCAACCACTGAGCCACACCAGCCAGACAAGTGTGTACTTTTTAAAACAACTATAGTAAGGCATAATTGAGATATTAAATTGAACATGTTCGAAGTGTATAATTTGACTAGTTTTGACAAGTGTATGTACCTGCAAAACCATCATCCCTTTGTTTTCACTTAGATTGTAGTTCAAATCTTGACTCTGAAATTCAATAGCAGAGTGATCTTTGGCAAATAATTTATCTCCAAAATTCTGTTTGTTCACCTGAAAACTGGAGATAATATTAACATTAAGATACATTCAAAGTGTTTAATAAATAGTAACCATATTCTAATTTCAACTTTTTTTTCTTTTTAGCTTTAGTACCCCAAAGCTGTTTAAAATACAGGGTGTTCAAAAAATGTATACACAGTTTCAATAATTATAAGGTCAGTGTTTATTAACATACAGTTCATTTTCAAAATATAAAAGAATCTACAGAAATAAACAATTTTTTTATTTGTTATTGTCAATGCCTGTTTTCAAACTGATGGCCATTCTGGTCCAGGCACTGCTGATGACATGAAGCAATGGAATAGCAAACACCAAGCATTATTTTGTTCTGTATTTGTGCACTTTCTCTTTCAATAGCTGCTCCTAATTCTTCGACTGTTGCTGGTTTTAAAATATTTTTTTCTTTATTGATTTTAGAAAGGAAGGGAGGGAGAGAGAGAGAGACAGAAACATCAATGAGAAAGAACATTGATTGGCTACCTCCTGCATGCCCCCCACTAGGAATTTGGCCCACAACCTGGGCATGTGCCCTGATCAGGAATTGAACTCTTGGTGCATGGGTCGACGCTCAACCACTGAGCCACACTGGCCGGGCTGTTGCCAGTTTTGTACTGTACACTCTATCTTTTATATATCCCCATATAAAGTCTAGTGGATTAATTTTCTTTGTTCAAAGCTTAGTCTATCTTCACTCATTATTTCAAATCAGCTAAACCTGAAAAAGAGGGAGAGTTAATTGTGTTATCAGCTATTAAAATGTGTATACATTTTTTGGGGGACACTCTATATTTTAAATTTATGTTATTGTTGATTTTTAATAGACACAAAACTTAAATTTCTTTCTGGGCCAGGTAGGAAATTTAAATTCATCATAAGCGCCCTGGCCGGTTTGGCGCAGCGGTTGGAGCGTTGGCCTGCGGTACAGAGAGGCCCGGGTTCAGTTCCCGCTAAGAGCACGTACCTTGGTTGCAGTTTGTCCCCGGCCCTGGTTGGTCGTGCGGGTGGCAGCCACTCGATGTGTCCCTTCACATCGATGTTTCTCTCTCTCTCTCTTCCTCTCTCTCCCTCCCGCTCTATCTGAACAAAAAAATGGAAAAATGTCCTCGGGTGAGGATAAAAAATAAATAAATAAATAAATTCATCACAAGCAAGAATAGGGGATTTGTGAGGACAATGGAAAAATGAACAGTGGATGCACAATGAAGTAAAAGCTTTCACATTTAAAATAAAATAAAAAGAAGGGAAAGAAATTGTGTTGGTCCTGCAAAAACAATTTTGCAGGTTGTATTTAGCCACAAGTTTGTGAAGTTAGGGGTTTTAGAGAACTACATGATTTACTTTACATTTTACAGACAAAGTTGATTCTGGCTATTCTCAGCAGAATAGATTGGAGAGGGGGCAAGCAGAAAAGCAAAGGAAACAATTAGGAGGCTATTATAACAATAACAATTTACATAAGGAAATATGTCGGTTTAGAATAAACTGATAGTGGAGATCAAGAGAAGTGGATGAATTTGAGACTTGTCCTGGAGTTAGAATAGACCACTTTTTTTTTTGTATGTCCATATACAAAAAATTGATTGAATTTTTTTAAAAGTCCTTAAAAAGTCACTTAAAAATGTTGTGAGATTTAAAAAAATTTGACATTGATTCTTTGATTCTGCCAGTACTGTTTTTATATTAATACATTATCTAAAATGAACTGGATGTGTTTATGCTACCCTGGCACATTGCCAACTGGGCTGGGCCACAGTGACTTTCGGTTTCCTTTTCTCTGAGTGTCTGCTCTCATTTTACGCCTGCTGCGCTGTCCAGACAGAGCAACTTCTCTCAGCTTCAGCCCTTGTCCAGATTCTACAAACTGGTAAGAGACCTGCTGCTTTCCACGTTTCCCACCCACTTGTACACACCGCCTTTTGCAAAAAATTCTATTCAAAAATAATACTTTAGAAAGTTTTTTTTACTCCCTATCTGTCCACCCTCTCTTTACATATTCTATGTGGAATGTAGAGTAAATAAGAGGCATGCGTGCAAGCTTTGCAGCAGCACACATGATCTGTTTTTCAGTATTTATGGAGAATATATTTGATTTTCCTCTAGGTTGAGAAATATGGCAGTGACCACTCGTTTGACATGGATGCAAGAAAAGAAACTGCAAAACTATTTGGGAGAAAAGCAGTTTAGCCTTCTCTATAAGGCTAGTGTTCGTGCAATCTCTGCAAAAGATTTGCTTCAGACATGCTACAATCAAGGACCCACTATAACAGTGATTTATAGTTTTGATCGTATTCTTGGGGCATATATACAAGAGAATTACCACGAAAACAAGCCCGTTCGCATCACCCTTTTGGTCTTGGAAGGGACTGAAATTTCAAGATGTGAAATAGGACCACGTTTACCACACTGTTTTTATTGTTCCTGGTATGATCGGAATAAGATCTCAAACTTCCTGATAGATCTATCAGAAAAAACGGTAAAGATGAGCTTAGGTACAATTAAAGAATTAAAACTACCTGAAAATCAGAAAATTTCCTTTCAAGAATGTGAAGTTTTTCGATGTGAAGGTAAGTTTGACTAGATAATCTACAGCATTCTCTCCTGCACACTTGGAGGGTTGGAGCTGACTGATTTCTTTAGGGAAAAATGACCTTTTTCACTTGTTCTTATTTCCAGATGACTCAGACTAGAACTTGGCCACAAATAGCAGGCTGAGATAACCATGGTCAAAAGTAGCATATATAATGTTTTTTGGAGTGTGTTTATGTGGGGAAAGGGGTTGGTGAGGAGGAGGTAAGGTGGAAATAGGAGAGAAGTGAACATCAAGATTGTGAGATTCTCTTTTATTTTTTTAATTAACTTTTGTTACAGATGTTTCTCCTTTTCCCCCCACTGATTCCCCCCTCCACCTCCCTCCCTGCCCTGTCCCCAGCTTTGTTGTCCATGTCCATTGTTCATGCATACATGCATATAAGTTCTGTGGTTTATCTCTCCCCCACCACTCCCTCTTCTGGGGATTGTCAGTCTGTACCCCACTTCCACATCTCTGGGAGTACCCCATTCCTCAGACTGTTATGTTCATTATATTCCACAAATAAGTGAGATCATATGATACTTGTCTTTCTCTGTTTGGCTTGTTTTGCTTAGGAAGATACTTTCCAGGTCCCTCCACGTAGTCTCAAAGTATAAGAGATCTTTCTTTCTTACAGCTGCATAGTACTCCATTGTATATATGTACCACTGCTTTTTTATCCATTCATCTACTGATGGACACTTGGGCTGTTTCCAGATCTTAACTATTGTAAATAGTGCTGCTACAAACATGGGGGTACATATATTCTTTCTGATTGGTGTTTCAGGCTTCTTAGGGTATATTCCTAGGAGTGGGATCACTGGGTCAAATGGAAGTTCAATTTTTAATTTTTTGAGGTAACACCATATTGTTTTCCATAGTTGCTGCAGCAGTCTGCATTCCCACCAGCAGTGTACTAGGGTCCCCTTTTCTCCACACCCTCGCCAACACTTGTTGTTTGATGACTTGTTGATGGCGGCCATTCTGACAGGTGTGAGGTGATACCTCGTTGTTGTTTTAATTTGCATCTCAAGTGGGAATGCAGACTGGTGCAGCCACTATGGAAAACAATATGGTGTCACCTCAAAAAATTAAAAATTGAACTCCCATTTGACCCAGTGATCCCACTTCTAGGAATATACCCTAAGAAGCCTGAAACACCAATCAGAAAGAATATATGTACCCCCATCTTTGTAGCAGCACTATTTACAATCGCTAAGATCTGGAAACAGCCCAAGTGCCCATCAGTAGACGAATGGATTAAAAAGCTGTGGTACATATACACAATGGAGTACTACGCAGCGGTAAGAAAGAAAGATCTCTTATCCTTTGAGACTACATGGAGGGACCTGGAAAGTATCATCCTAAGTGAAACAAGCCAAGCAGAGAAAGACAAATTTCATATGATCTCACTGATTTCTGGAATATAATGAACATAACAGTTTGAGGACAATCCCCTAAGGAGTGGGGAGCTGAGAGAGGGATGAACAACAGAATTTATATGCATGTAGGCATGAACAGTGGACATGGACAACAATCGGGGGAAGGGGCAGGGAGGGAAGGGGGAGGGGGGAATCACTGGGGGAAAAAAGGAGAATCATTTGTAACAAAAATTAATCAATAATTTGCATCTCAAGATTGTGAGATTCTCTTGAAAAGAAACCAGAAGTTGGACTTCTGTTGATTGGTATTGGATCCTTTCTGATGCAATTTCCCATTATAGCAAAAGACCAAAATTCACTTACTTGTTTTTCCACTTAAGAACTTTTAAATTTTTTCTAATATTTGCTCTTGTAAACAATGCTCCTGTAACATCTTTATGCATAAAACTCTGTACAAAAATACTTCTTTAGGGTAACTTCCTGGAACTGTAATTGTTTAACAGGTAAGTACATTTATATTTAAAAAAATATTTTTTTCTTTATTGATTTTAGAGAGAGAAGAAGGAAAAGGGAGAGAGAGAGAGACATCTATGAGAAAGAACATCGACTGGCCACTTCCTGCATGCCCCCACTGGGGATCGGGCCCACAACCTGGGCATGTGCCCTGACTGGGAATCAAACCAGTGACCTCCTGAGTCATACCAGCCAGGCACATTTACAATTTTATAGGCACTTTCTGAAAGCTTCAGTTGTCTATACTATCCCCAAGAGTGTTGTAGAAATGCCTATTTCCCTATATCCTTGCTAATCTTTGATATTATCAAACTTTAGGAAATTTGCCATTCTGATGGTCAAAAGATGGTGTCTCTCCCTTCTCTCTCTCTGTATGTGTTTTGCTTATCCCTGATCACTAACAAGTTTATGTATATTGGCCATTTACATTTCTTCTATGAAATACTTGTTTATGGGATGGGGAACCTTTTTACTGCCAATGGCCATTTGGATATTTATAACACTGTTCACAGGCTATACAAAATTATCAACTTAAAAATTAGCCTGTTATATTTGGTCAGGCTGATTTGGTGAGGTGTGTGATGATAGCTGGTATTGATTTTGTGGGCCTTATATGGCCTGTAGGCCAGACACTCCGCACCCCTGACAGGCTCCTGGGAATAATACTCCCTGAGAGTTGTATATTCCATACAGAAAATCTGTGATCTTTCCACTTGAATATCTATCAGGTTACATTATTCTTTGGTCACATATTATTTTAAAGATATTATAATGTTTTCACAGCATTGATATTGCTGTGGAAAACCTATGTCCAGCTTTAGTCATTCATTCATTCATTCATTCATTCATTCATTCATTGTATCCTTTTGAGTGATTTGATCTTTCATCCTGGGTTCCCAAACATTTAAAAAAATTTTGTTGATGTCTGGTAAATCTACTTGGATATGTCATGATGTTTACCATCTCGTGTCATTTAAGTAAACTTTTCTAAAAGCTGAATTTAGAAAAGGGTGATGATATTGGTTAATAAAATTATACAGGTTTTGGGTATACAGTTCTATAATACATCATCTGTATATTATATTATGTGTTTATCATCCAAAGTTGAGTCTCCTTCTATCACCATTTATCCCCTCTTTACCCCTTTTTGCCTCCCTTTAACCCTTTCCTTCACCATACTATTGTCTGTGTCCATGAGTCTTTCTTTTTTTTTGTTTACTTAATCCCTTCACCCATCTCACCCAGCCCCCAACCACCTACCCCTGACAGCTTTTATTGAAGTATAATACATAAACAGAGAAATGCACAACTGATGAGTGTACCAATTGATAAACTTCTGCAAATTGGACACACTCATGTAACCACTACTTAGATGAAGAACCGCATTATCAACATCACTTCAGAAGACTCCTTTATATCTCTGCCCAGTAACCAACCAAAGGTTACCAAATTGTCTCATATCAACATTAGTTAATACTTCTTGTTTTTGAATTTTATATTAATAGAACCTCACCACAGTATGTGCTCTTTTATGTCTCTCCTCTTTCATTCGTTTGAAAGATTGAGCAAATACAAGGGATTAGATTATAAAATCAGACCCTGAAAAAAATCAGATTTCTTACTAATATCAAGTTTTACCATTAATTTCAGGGATAAAGGCAATAAAAAATCTCAGAGAAGGCAGAAAGAGTACCAGGATATTATGTGTGGCTCCCAGATCCTTTTTTCCCCACATTAGTTATATGATTTCTGGTTAAGAACAACAGGCCTGGGTTTTAAATAAAGTGTAGCACCACCTTATATATTGGAGAATAGTTAGGTTTTGGAACATTGACATACCAAAGCCAGGGACTCAATTGTGTCCTCCTACACTGCAGATGTTGAAGCTGTAATCCCCAATATGGGAATATCTGGAGATGGGACTTCTGAGGAAGTAACTGAGATTAAATGAGGTCATGAGAGTGCGGCCCTGGTTTGATAGGATACATGCCCCTAAAAAAGGGGCACCAGGGGCTCTCTTTCTAGCCATGTTCACTCAAGAACAGGTCGAAAGTGAAATGGCAGCCCGAGGGACTAAGACAACTAATTTACATGCACTTTTCCAGGAATATGTGCCTCATAAAGCCATAGAATCTGAATTTATTTACTGAAAGTAATTCTTAGCCAGGGACATCCTGTTAAGGACTTCAAGAGATAAGTACTTTTCTTGTAGCAAATAACATTTGTCTATTTATCCGGAAATAATATTATTGGCATATTTGTAAGAAAATCAGACTGGATCACATTTCTTTCTTTGCTTGAGAGTGTTACTCAGTAAGGGGTGCCTCCCTAGTGATTCATCCATGTTACTGTAGGCAGCAGTAATTTGTCTTTTTAATTTTCCTACAGTATTCCATTGTAATGATTATGTCACACTATTTTTAAAAATCAAATCACTGTTGGTGAACATTTGGATTGTTCAGTTTGGGGCTATTACAAATACTACTGTATAAACATTCTTGTACATATCCTTTGGTTTACATTTATACATATTTTTCAAAGAATATAAGCATGGAATTGCTGGTCAAGGGTCTGAGAATGTTCAGCTTCAGTTGATTATGACAAAGTTTTCCAACACAGTTGTACCAGTTTCCACTACCACAAGCAGTGCATGGAAGTTTCTGTAACTCAATCTTCTCCAATACTATAGAGTAGCAAGTCTAACATGCGTCTGGTAGTATGGCATTTTGTGAATTTGTCTTTCTTTGATTAAACTCGTTAGCACTTTATATATTTATATTTTAAACGAGTCAATTCTTATAATAATATATCTTTTTTTTAATTTATAAAATTGGTCTTTGTTTTTCAGTAATTTTTTCTTTTTATATTTTAAGACATGTTTCTTTATTATTTTCCCTTTCCATTTTCAAGACTTTCCTTCTTTCTTGGTTGTTAATGAAATGTACGTTTACCTTAAAGTTGATATAAAAATGTTTATATTGTTACTTTTTATACATAATTGCAATTGCATATTTTTCCCTTTTGGATGTTAAAGTTATTTAAGAGAATACTTTTTTAATTTTCCAAGAGTTTACTTTTCTGTTTGCTTACACCCATTCTTTACTAGTTTTATTATATTGTAGCCATTGAGTGCAGTCTTTACTATTTCTACTTTTGGTAATTTAAAGAGGTTTTTTTTTGTAACCATATATATAGCTATATTTATAAATGTTTCACACCATATGGTTCTTTTTTAGAGACTAATTATCATCAATTTGCACCTAATTATTTCAATTTTAAATCTACTGTAAAAGAGTCGCCTTTTCTAAGCAACAAAATAATTCTGGGCCTGAGTCTCATTGGTCCAAATGAGGTCCTCAGCCCATCACTGAACCACTTACTGTGCTCTGATCAGATAGGCATGAGTAGCACCTACTCTTCTGAAACCAGGAATAAAATCAACTGGACTATAAATTCCAGAAGCCCCAGTTATTGACAATACCTTTTGGAACATATCTGGTACCTGTGGTTTTTTTTCATGTGTGTCTCTGCACATTACCCCTTTCAGACATTGGACTATGGAGGAGGAATTAGAGCATTCCCGGTCTTTCCTTGCCTGTCCATGTTTCTAGGCCTTGCTTCTCTGATTCAGAAGGGATACCCACCCTCTTCTCCACATTGGAGCAGGCCACACCCTGCTGCTGAGTGATTGGGTGAGAAATTATCTGTAGACATCATAGTCTTGCAGTGCATCATAGTCTTGCCCTAGCCTCTTCCAATGAGGTGGTATTAAGGATATTTGCTATAATTTTCTTCACACACTTTTCACTATACTGCACTATTCTCACAAAAAGGTTATTTTGGTATTTTTTTTCTAGTGAATTCACTGACATTCATTCAGTCAGCCAATTGATGAACAATTTATAATCTTCATTATTCTTTGATTATTTCCTCAGATTTGTTAGACACAAGGAAGATGAAGGGAGTTACTGAGTGAGTCAAAGTTTTTAGTTCTATTATTCTGTTAATTATCTTATACTTTTTCTATTATAGGCTCTGTTAATATGAACCTATTATGACAGATAACTTGTGGATTATTAAGAACAAACTATAACAATATCTATAATCATAAAACTAAATGGTAATAGTAATCATATATATAAAAAAGAACACTGACCAGAAAAGAAATTTCTAGTTTTTTACATACTTGAAGGAAAATAATTATTTGGCTGTATGTCTACATTTTTGCTAAGAATTCTTGCTATGGAAGGGGTGGTCTCCTGCTATAAACTTCAAAAGTCACTTATTATGGTGTGGTTTTGTTTTTTATTATAGATCATTTATCTTCATGTTTAATATAGTTGCTATGTATTTCTATCAACTTAAATCTATGCTTAAATCTGAAATATTTTATGTCTGATCAGTCTTAGTTAAAAGTGTAATTTTTGTTTTTCCTTCTTTTACACTAGGATTTGAGGTAGGATAGTTTCATGCTTTCTTATACAAGAAGGCAAGTTGATAATAGAAAATAAATAATAATATATAAGAAAGAAAATACATTCAAGGAAAATTTATTGTAAGGTCTTGCGATCTAACCTCAGTCATCTGTTAAAATTGTCTTGTCTGAACAGGCTTAGGGAGAGCTTATTGTCTGCCATAAGAACTTACAAACCATATAGAGACCTGGTTCACCAAGTACGCATTCTGCTCCTGGGTCCAACTGGAGCTGGGAAGTCTAGCTTTTTCAACTCAGTAAAGTCTGTTTTCAGAGGCTGCGTAACCCACCAGGTTTTGGTGGGCTCTGGCACAACTGGGACATCTGAGCAGGTAAGTCCATTCTCAGCCTTTGCTTTTTTTGTTCAAGTTAGATTTGAAAAGCTTTATTTTCTGATCAACTTCATTATGTAGATTTCATCTCAATTTATACCTTTTCAAAAAAAAAAAAAATGAACTCTTACAGTTCCCTTTTTCCTTTTGCAGTACAGGACATATTCCGTTAAGGCTGAGAATGATGGCAGCCCCTTGCCTTTTATGCTGTGTGACTCAATGGGGCTGAGTGAGGAAGGTGGGCTGTGCATGGATGACATACACCACATCTTAAAAGGCCATGTTCCTGACAGATACCAGGTACAATTTGGCTAATTATTGAAGAATTATCATTGATATTAAAAACGTTTATATTTTCCCACTATAGAGAACAAAAGACTCTAGTTAGGGCATCTGCATTTATTTTCTTAAACTATGTTCGTTCAAGATCCTTTGTTTCCTTTTGATATTTTATTTTACAAAGAATTAAAATGTTCAAAGGTTTCTTCTATCATAGCTGCCATTATAATTCTGAACGTTGTTACACATTTAATTGTTTCTGGCTATGCAAAAGAGAAATCCAACACATCGACTTATTCATGTAGGTAATTTTTCTTAAGTAGCAGGAAGCCTAGAGGTAGGCAGCTTTGGACCAGCGTGCCAGCTCTTCGAGTTAATTAATTTCAAGGTCCTTATGACTTTCTGTTCTGAGATCTTCAGCATGGAGTGCTATGGATTGAATGTTTGTGTCCCTTCAAAATTCATGTGTTGAAGTCCTACTCTACAATGTGATGATATTTGGAGGTGGGGTCTTTGGAAGGTGATTAGGTCATGAAGTGAAGCCCTCATGAGTGGAATTAGTGTCTTTATAAGAAGATATACAAGAGAGATAATCTCTCACTCAGCCACACGAGGATACAGCAAGAAGGTGGCTGTCTACAAACTAGGAAGGGAACTCTCACTAGACACCAAATCTGTCAGCACCTTGACCTTGAACTTCTTAACCTCCAGAACTATGAAAAATAAGTGTTTGTTGTTTAAACCACAGACTACTGTGATTTGTTATAGCAGCCCAAGCTGACGAAGACATATATGGCTTTCCTCCCCCTGCTCTCAAGATGCTCATGTTGAGCAATGTTAGAGTTCCAGGCAAGAGAAAAAGTGAGATTAAAGAGAAGGGCTGGTCTGCCTTTTAAAAAATTTTTCAAATTATTTTTGTAAATATTTAGATCTTGAGTTATTCATTAATTTACCTTGTTCCAAATGACTAGTTATGTGCCAACATCTCATTTAACACCTTTGCATCTTTTTCCTACCAAAAATAGGGATTGATTTTTGTATCTTCTAGTTTATTCTATAAATATTGATGTATTTATAAATTTCCTTATTATATTCATTACCATACTGTTTAATTGTTTTAATTACTATAGCAATCAATTACATCTTGATAGATAACTCACTGGACAAATCATACTAAATATTTATTTCTCATATTTGTTTTTCTTGACCACTATTCCAAGTGAGCTTATTTGCATTTCATTTGATTGTTTATGCTTTATTTGGTGGTACTTTGATTAAAATTTTGTTAAACTTTTATATTCAAAGTTGTTTCACATCTTCACATATCCAGTGTTTCTGTCAAGAAACACAGAATGTTTTCATTTTATATTTATATTTCTTTTATTCTTTAGCATAGAGCTATCCTGTAGAGGTAGTTAAGTTTATTTTTAAATAGTCCTTTTTTAAACAAAAATCTTTATTATAGAGAACTTTAAACTTATGCTAAAATAGACAAAACAATTTAATGAATTCCCATTTACTCATTTCAACAGTTTCTTACTCAAAGCCAATCTTGTTTCATCCATATCTACTCACTTTCTCTTCTATATTATTATTTGATTTTAAGATTTTTTTTTTTTTATCCCACCTGAGGACATTTTTTTGATATTTTGTTCAGATAGAGTGGGAGGGCGAGAGAGGAAGAGAGAGAGAGAAACATTGACATGAAAGGGACACATTGAGTGGCTGCCTCCTGCATGACCCTAACCAGGGTTGGGAATGAACCACAACCAAGGTACGTGTCCTTGACCGGAATCAAACCCACGACTCTTTGGTCCATGAGCCCACACTCTAACCACTGAGACAAACAGGCCAGAACCACATTATGTGTCTTTTTAAACAGTTTTTTTAATGATTCAAAAAAATTTTCAGCCTATTTTATCTGCACATTCTGCCTCTATCTCTTTTTTTAAAATTAATTAATTTTTGTTACAGATGTTTCTCCTTTTTCCCCATTGACACCCTTCTCCTGATTCTGCCCCCTCCCCCACCACTGCATTGTTGTCTATGTCGATTGGTTACTCATACATGCATGTAAGTTCTTTGGTTTATCTCTTCCCTCCCTGCCCTGCCACCCTCCTCTGAGGTTTGTCAATCTGAACCCTACTTCTATGTCTCTATGTCTATTTCATTCATCAGTCCACTTTCTTCACTATATTCCACAAATAAGTGAGATCATGTGATACTGTCTTTCTCTGATGGGCTTATTTTGCTTAGCATAATACTTTCCAGGTCTCTCCATGTCATCTCAAAGGATAAGGGATCTTTCTTTCTTACAGCTGCATAGTACTCCATTGTGTACATGCACCACAGCTTTTTTATCCACTCATCCATTGATGGACACTTGGGCTGTTTCCAGATCTTAGAGATTGTAAATAGTGCTGCTATGAACATAGGGTACATATATTCTTTCTTATTGGAGTTTCAGGCTTCTTAGGATATATTCCTAGAAGTAGAATCACTGGGTCAAATGGCAGTTCAATTTTTAATTTTTTGAGGAAACACCATATTGTATTCAATAGTGGCTATACCAGTTTATATTCCCACCAGCAGTGTACTAGAGTCCCCTTTTTCCATACCCTCGCCAGTACTAGTTGTTTGATGATTTGTTGTTGGTAGCCATTCTGGCAGGTGTGAGGTGATACCTCATAGTTGTTTTAATTTGCATCTCTCTGATGATTAGTGACATTGAGCATTTTTTCATAAGTCTCTTTGTCCATTTGTAAGTCCTGTTTAGAGATGTGTCTATTTAGATCTTCTGCCCATTTTTTAATTGGATTCTTTGTCTTCCTTTTGTTAAGTTGTATGAGTACTCTGTATATTTTGGAGATTAACCCCTTATCTGATATAGCGTTAGCAATTATGCTCTCCCATATAGTGGGTTCTCTTTCCCTTTTGATGGTTGTTTCTTTTCCTGTGCAAAAGCTTTTTAGTTTGATGTAGTCCCATGTGTTCATTTTTTCCTTTGTTTCTCTTGTTTTAGGCCTTGTATCAGTGAAAATTCTGCTGTGTGTGATGTCCAAAATTTTGTTGCCTACATTTTCTTTTATGATTTTATGGATTCACAAGTCAGATTTAAGTCTTTTATCTATTTTTACTTTATTCTTGTGTATGATAGAAATTGATGGTCTAAGTTTCATTTTTTTTGCATGTAGTTGTTCATTTTTCTAACACCATTCATTAAAGAGGCTGTCTTTACTCCACTGTATCCTCTTGCCACCTTTGTCAAATATTAATTGAGCATAATGTCTTGGGTCAATTTCTGGGTTCTCTGTTCTGTTCCACTGATCTATATGCCTGTTGTTGTGCCAGTACCAGGCTGTTTTGATTACAACGGCTTTGTAGTATAACCTGATATCCAGTATTGTGATCCCTCCTACTTGGTTCTTCTTTTTCAAGATTGCTGTGGCTATTCAGGGTCTTTTTTGGTTCCATATAAACTTTTGGAGTATTTGTTCTAGTTTCGTGAAATATGTCATTGGTATTTTGATTGTGATTGCATTGAATCTATAGATTGCTTTGGATACTATGGACATTCTAATGATGTTAATTCTTCCAATCCATGAACAAAGTGTATACTTCTACCTTTAAAAAAATTTTTTTTCCCTGTATTTATTTTACAGAGAGAGGAAATGAAAGGGAGGGAGAGATAGAAACATCGATGAGAGAGAACATCAATTGGCCACCTCCTGCATGCCCCTGACTGGGGATTGGGCCCACAACCTAAGCATGTGTCCTGACCAGGAATCAAACCAGCGACCTGTTGGTGTATGGGTTGATGCTCAACCGCTTAGCTGCACTGGTTGAACTATACCTTCTTCTGTTTCTTTTTTCAATGTCCTGTAGTTTTCTGAGAACAGGTTTTTTTTACTTCTTTGGTGAAGTTTATTCATAGGTATCTTAGTTTTTTTGCTGCAATGGTAAATTCAATTGTGTTTTTTTTTTTTTTAGTTTCTCTGTGAGTCCATTATTGGTGTATAAGAATGCCATTGATTTCTTGATGTTAATTTTGTATCCTGCTACTTTGCCAGATTCATTTATTAACTCTAGTAGATTTTTGATGGAATCCTTAAGGTTTTCTATTACAATATCTTGTCATCTACAAATAAGACAGTTTCACTTCCTCTTTTCTAATTTAGATCCCTTTTATTTTTTTCTTCTTGTCTAATTGCTGTGGCTAAGACTTTCAGTACTATGTTAAATAAGAGTGGTAAAAGTGGCATCCCTGTCTTGTTCCTGTTCTGAAGGAAAAGCCTCTATCTCTTTTGGCATTTTTACTTGCAATTTGTTTTTTAAGAAATCTGTTTGGTTATTTTGCAGACTTCCCTACAGTCTGAAATTTGCCATTTTCACCACTTGATGTAGTTTTTTTATAGTTTTTATGTATCCTGAAAATTGATAGATGAATGTAGAGACATATTCAGATTCAGGTCTACTTTATAGAGAGTGTAGTGTTCTTCCATGAAAGCCACACAATTTTGGATTTTCTCAGTTTTATAATATGGATTTCATTAATGTTCAACACCTAGATCCTTTTTTTATTAGGGTATGAAAATAGTGATGTTCTATCTCTATCATTCCTTCTTTATTTCACATGTGAAAGACAAACTTCTCATTTACTATTTGATTACTATTAAGTAATTACTGAGCAAGTAATTATTAAGTAATTACTTAATAGTAATCAAATAGTACAGTTAATATATAGAACGTGCAGGATATCTGTTTGACTTTTTATGTTTCTGAAATAATAAGTTGGTTTATTTGCATCTGCTAATATTGACCAGTGATTATTTTATTATCATTGTGAACTCATGAATTGAACATATTTGATATGTTTCAATGCACTATAATTTCTCTCCATACTGATGTCAAATGTACCATTTTCGACCACTAGGAGCTGCTACAATTTGGATTCTGAGTCCTGTTGACATAAAAATTTGCTATATTCCTTGATTTCTGTTATGACTATAAGGTTAAACCATATCTTATATATTTACAGCCCAGATTTTGTATCAGTTATTTTTTTAAGAAGTTTTGGTTTGGGTCATTAGAACTGTTCATTGCTACTTGGTGGATTGTTGGTTCTTGTTTTTCTTTTTTTTATTGTACAGATCTAAGAAATATATATTTTAATGATAAGATATATTATAAAACTACACAGAAACAGAAACATTTAAATACAGGACTAGATAATTTTTACTTAATTTCTTTTATCTTGCATCTGTATCTGCTTTGTCCAAAGAGAGAATCTCTAATTTCAAGGACATCAGAGATGAAAAAATATGTTACAAGTAATTTGCTTTATCACACATAATATTCACTGTAATTTCAAAATAAATTATTTAAAAAAATTATTTTTTCTTTATTGACTTTAGAGAGAGAGGAAGGTAGAGGGAGAGAGAGATAGAAACATTGATAAGAGAGAACATCGATTGGCCGCCTCCTCCATGCCCCCCACTGGGGATTTAGACCACAACCTGGGCATGTGCCCTGACTGGGAATCAAACCTGTGACTTCTTGGTGCATGGCTTGGTGCTCAACCACTGAGCCACACTAGCTGGGCTCAGAATAAATTATTTGACATTACCATGAACAATCCAATCATAATTATGTTTAATATCAATAGAATAAAAATAATCACAATAAAAATCAGAAATAATTAAAAATTTTAGCAGTTTTTTTTTTTTTTTTTACATTGTATTTAGAACATATCATGTAGTAGGGGTATACAAAGAACTGTGTTTTAAAGTCAATCAGAAATAGTTTCTTTTTGTAGCTATGACTCCAATTGGATGCAAAAGTTTACTGGTTTAATTTGATTTAAAGGTTTCTTGTTAAAATTAATTTTGTTTTATATTTATGCTATCATTTATATGATTCTAAAGTCAAATCTACAAAATAAGGTATATTCAAAGAATCCACTTTCTTTTTTGTCCTTCAAATATGTTCTCTTCTCTTCCTATAAGTAACCACATAAAAAATTGTGATTTACTTTTCTTTTTTAATACATTAAAAATACAGATCTGTGGTTTCCTCTTTTTTAGAGAAGTGATAGAATGCTATATGTTATTAATATAATAGAATTTTGCTGTTACAAATAGTTCTAAAATTCATAGTCTTGTACATACATCTGTGGGACAGATTCCCAGCAGAGGAATTTCTGGTTTAAGAGTAAATCCTCTCATTTTGTACCATTCCTCCCCACTTGCATTGTGCAGATTTCTTTCTGAATGCCTTTACCTTCACCATTGTCCACATTGCTTCTATCTAGGATACTTTCTGCCATGTTATTATTCCCTTATTCAGATGAACTCACCTATTTTATTTTTTATCTTCATATTACATGTCCTTTCTTCACAGAAGCTTTACCTATGTGAAAGGATTGCTAGCTACTTGCATAATGACTGTCTTCCTTACCCTATTGTTCGCCTCAAAATATTAGAGACTTGTTGGTTTTATTCACTGTTTCACTTACTTGTACAGGGCATGGTACTGTATGTACTTACATATATTTGTTAAAATAATATGTTCCCTTATGTTTACCATACAGTTTGACTGCATGAAACCAATCACACAAACTAATAGTAATTATATTAAGTTCCCATTGCTGAAGGATAGAATCCATTGTGTGGCATTTGTGTTTGATGCCAACTCTATTGAAAACCTCTCTAATGAGATGGTAACAAAGATCAGAAGAGCTCGAAGGGAGACGATAAAATGTGGTGAGTTTCATTCCATATTACTTTCAAGACTAATAGATTAGACTATATTGTAGAATGGTTTTTGAACAGGATGAAGAATTTAAGAAAGTGCATATTTGAATCTTCCCTGGCCCATCAGTGTAGTTCATTCAAATCAAGCACTCCCTAGCTGTATGTCTTGCTGCAAGTGATTTAAATTTTCTATGACTCAATGTCTTAATCTATATAATTAGCATAACAATGGATATTTTAATGAAAGGATTAAACAAATTAATATATATGAAAAGTTTATTTTCCAAGAATTCTAGACTTCCCCTTGGGCCTTAAAGGATCAGAAAGAGGAAAAAACATTTTAGTAAGAAAAAGAAACAGGGAAGTAAGATGTTTGGTAGAGAGGTAGTGTAAAGGCCTTGGAGAAGGTAAGCAGGATTAGGGAATTAAGGTGCCCCTCACTAGGCTTTTTTGTCTTTATTATCCATTCTGTTTGGGAAAGAGCCAGTTTATCACAATTTTGATGAAGTTAGAAGTAGGGAGTGATTGATTTACTTGCTCAATGAAATTTAAAACCATGCATGGGTGGTGTGCTGGGAGGTGTCTACTAACATTGCGACATAGGAGCAGTTTATTTGCAATATTTTAACATATTCTATTTCCTTGAGGCCTTTTCTTCTCAATCTTGTTTATTAGAACCCTTTGGTCTTTTTTCTAGTCTTCATAAAAACACAACTGCTGGATAGGATATAAAAGCAATCAGCAATATTGTAGCATAAATTTTAATGACCTCTTCCAAGAGGTGATTTCATTGGAAGCCTGATTTCCTACCATGAGAGGCAATGAAGGGGATTTCCTATGTCAGAAAAATCCCAGATACCAATGAGTAGTTCAGGAGGACTTTTTTTTTTAGGGGGTAGGGGATTTCCCCAAATTTCTGAAATTGTTCCATAGATAATCTATTGCATAATTGATAGCTGACTAACTGAAAAAATACTGATGCTGCTTATAATAATGAAAACAATATGTATCTGCTTGGCATAGGTGTGGTACCTTTGGTTTTGCTCACTTGTGTGGATAGCATGGATCTGATTAGGAGAGGAGACATTATAGACATATACAGATGTACGCCTGTGAAGCTCAAGGTAATGAATGATGTCTTTTGTAAACACATTTTCTGGTATGTCACTATAATCATATGATATTACTGTGTATAAAAATAAAAATAATACCTATGGAGTGTAAGAATATTTTAAACAATTGCTTGGATAATTCAGAATTATTTCCTGAGTTTTAAATATGAAATATTTATTTATTTTTACACTGACACAGATAACTCCATTTATTACAATTTAATTCAATTAGGTTCAATTCAACAAATATTTGTTGATTACCTGTAATGGTTGCGCCAGTGTGATAGTCTCTAATCAGATCCACAGATAATTAAAATAATTTCCCTGTACCAAGGAGCTTGCAATTTTATAGATGGAGGTGAGTGGATAAGGGAATGAGATGAGAAAAACTTGACAAAGCAATATGATATGATTGAGTATAATAGATATCATGAACTAATTAAAAATAAAATGTTTTGAAAATTCAGAGAAGGAAAATATTGTGCTAAAGGGCATAAGAAAAGATTTCATCACTGAGATGGCACTGGAAAGTGGCTTTTAAGGCAGAGGAGTACTTCAGGAAGTGAAAAGAAAAAAAGGGGAAACTCTCAGGCCAGAGGGACAGCATAAGTGAATAAATACATCAATGCAGGGAAAAACAGCGTTTCAGTAAACATGGAGCTGTTGAGTTTAGTGGAGGGCTGGATCCTTGTAGGGAAAGATAGAGTGAGAAAGTAACATTTGCATGAGGTGATTTTACTTACTCAGGTGCATTATGGGGAATCATAGCAACTTTTTGAAAGAGTAGTGAAGTGACCAAATTCAGCTTCACAAAAATTAGTCTGGCACCTATGTAAAGAATGGATTGGAGTGAAAAAGATCACAGAAGGGGGAACACCAGTTGGAAGAATTTTATGATAGCTAATATTTGTTAAGCACTGATTATGTGACTGATTTTCTTACTCAATACTTTAAACATCCTTATGAAATGGGTATTGTTATTACCATAATTTATAGATGAGAAAACAAAAGCACAAAGAGAAAAGCATTTGCTAATGTTTATTGATGGTGCTAAGAAGTGACGGAGCCCTATATTGATCCCAGGCAATCTGGTTTCGCAGAAAAACTAATCTAGAGAACAATGAAACATCAGCACTGCACACCTGAAATGAATATGAAATAATATTGAATATCAATTGTAATTGAAATATAAAATTAATAAAAGAATTGAATATTAGCATTAAGCTAGTAAAATCCAAAGAATAAACTTTTAAAAGAAAACTGAGGGAAAGTGTGGACTTATACTAAAAATGCTTCAGTTTCAAAGTAGTTTATATAGAACAATTAATCACCTTTGCTTTGAATTCATATTGAATCTGTTACATGTATTCTAAATGAAAATTAGCAGTGAAGTTAGAGCTTGACTTGTGACGTTCTTTAGAAAAAGTGCTTTGTGGACCACATCTCTTTCTCCATTACCGCAATGGGAACAATACTGCAAGCGCCTGCCTTTGTTATTGCTTTTACCATTTATATTGACATTAAATAGTGTTTTTCATTGTTTTGAGATTTCTGGGTTTTAACTTCTGTGTTGCAGATGGAGGCAGTCCACAGAGAACTTGGATTTGCTCTTTCTGACATCTTTGTGGTCTGTAATTATACCTCAGAGTGGGCTCTGGATCCTATAAAGGACGTTCTGAATCTCTCTGCACTGAGACAGCTGCTGTGGGTTGCTGATGACTTCTTAGAGGATTTGCCTCCTGAGGAAATAGGTGAATGCATTTAATAGTATGAGAACTTGAAGGTGTAGTTTTGTGGCTACTTCCTGCTTGCATCTATTGAGTACATGGCCGTTCTCTGTGTCTCTGTGAGTTGCTGCCCTGTGAGTAATCCTGCCCTTGAATGCATTGGCAGGATGTGTTTTCTCCCCTCACATTGCCTGATCCCTCCATCCCCACCCAGGTACAACCTAGAGAATTTTCACTACTTCTCTTCCCCTAGTCTTGTTTTAAGATGAAAGTTTTAAAATGACGCAGCTCTATCATTTCCCACTGTCTGAACATCCCAAGCTGAATCCTTGCCCTCATCTACTAAAATGTGCATTTTGGCTTGGGACCTAGAACTGGATTGGATCCTCATTGTTCCAGATCAGATGTGATCTTTGATTATTTGGCCCTTCTTTGAGACCTTATGTGTCTGTCTCCTTGACTTGGCTTTTGAAAATTCTCTGTCGTCTGAATCCCTCCCAATGCAGTGTGGCTGGTGCTAGATGAGACGCTTGCCTTTCAGAGGCAGAGCCTGCAGCCTTACGCGTAGTCCCTGCTCCCAACCTGCGCACGGTATGCAGTGCACTGGTCCAACCCAAGATGAGACAGCTTCAGCTTATACTCAAATCTTACTTTAGTTTGTGAAGTCAAAATAGAATATTATATCCTTCCTAGTGTTCCACTCACACACTACTGGAAAACTCTCGAACTGCTGGCTTTGCTGTCCTGATTGTGCCATCTTGGTGTCTCCATTTCTTCTCTCCTCATGGTGCATGCACTTTTGAAGTCAGGATTGGCTTAGACCTTCAGTAGCCCAATGTTTCTCTTCTTTCTGGTTGCTTTTCCTTTCTCAGATAACTGAAGAAAAGCACTTACCATGTGTGCAACAGAAAAACAAATACACGAACACTTCACATATTAATTAATTTTATCTCATTGGAGAAGAGTAAAAATGGAGAAGTGAGAAAACACAGGAAAAAGAGAAGTAGCCAAAACTGAGGGAGTGTATTTTACTTATAGCCGGGATGAAGATGCACAAAACATGACAATACCTACAAATAATCTAGAATAGCAGGATTTAAAGTTGTAAAAAAAACCCAATCATAATATTTTTGGATGTTAGTTCTGTACTTGTGAAAAATTAAAGTTTCTTCTTATAAAACTTGGCTCATGTGTGTGTATGTGTGTGTGTGATTTGAAAACGTTTATTTTAATATGACGTGTCAGCATCTTTTGATCTTGATCCATGTCATCCTAATTTTGCCTTCTTATTTCATTTTTAAAGTATTTGATTTTGTTCTCTTTGGGTCCCCAATTAATGTTTTATTCTTTAACCTAAAGCCATGTTTTGTTTAATATTTGAACCCCTCTTGCAGGATGAGGCTATTAATATGAATGAGGTCCATAAGATTAAAACTGAAAGAAACTATAGTTTGATTGCTCTGAAATTACAAATATTTTAGTTCTAAATGACAAAATTCAACTTGAACTACATGAATAAAAAACAAAAAAGAGGAATGTAGCATTGGATCAAGTAATGAAACCATAGAAAATGCTGGGATTGAATTAAACTGGCCTCAGAGATGAATCTAGGGATTTAAGCAATTCATTCTCTCTCTCTCAATGAAACATCAGAGATTATTCAAGCAGCACTTGAGTTTGATAATTGCTGAAGATATACATACTATGGCAAACCACAGACAAGTCTGAGGAGACAAAAACAAAGTCAGCTTTTACTGAGTTTTAGAAGAAAATTGGAGAGAGGTTGTGGCGGTTTCTTATTGCCAGCTGGTGGTGGCTGATTGCTGTTGCTGGGGAAGGAGAGTGGGCAGCTGGTCATTGCTGGCAAACGGGGGGGGGGGGGGGGTAGTCTTCCTTCTTCCTTTTGATTGTATAAGCTTCAGGTGCTGGTTACATAGATGATGAAGGATAAGTGTGTGAAAGCTCTCCCTTCAGGGCTTTCCAAATCCATTTTAAATTAGGGTGTCTTTATTTTCACATTTCCCCCCTTTGATCAAGATCTTTCTTTGAAAGCATTGCTGATCAAGAGTCAAGTTTTTCTGCATTTAGTGGTTTTGTTCTATGGTGCCAGGAAGGACCTTCCCTGGTTGCCATGTCCCACATCAGAGGAAAAGTACATAGTGATGGGAAACCATTTAAGGCCACATTTAAATAACAAGGAAGATAGAAGAGGGAACTCTCAGACATTTCCCAATCAACGTTTATATCTTTTAAGTATCAGAGATCATCTCCAACTGCTGGGCTAAGACCATCTTATTCAGTACATTGTTTCTACAGGGATTTGATAGGCAACAGGCACAGAGTTTAAAATTGGTTATACAAAAAAAGAAAATTGAGGAGCAGAATAATAAATCCCACTTGTAAAATGACCCTCAACCAAGATTCCAAACATGAAGGCAACTGGCTAAATAGATAGAAAGACCATGGTTCATTAGGCAAAGATTTTTGCAACAAATGGGCTTGTTGTCTAATTTTATGTAATTAAGTTTTTGCTTTCCCAGAGGAATTTAGCCAAGTGCAACAGGTAGTTTCTGCGATTGCACATATGCCTCCTAAGTAAATAATCAGGAGCTATTATATTGTCTAAAGCTAGTTTGGTTAAGGAATCGGCAGCTATTGCCTCATTGGTGGAATTGGCAAGTTTTCCCAGTGTCAGAGAAAGATTTATGATTAAATGTTCATTGGCATGCACACCAACAAGAAGAAAGAATGATCTCCCTGTGGAGACCATCTGACTATCTCTTGGGAGTTCTCATTTAAGGTGGCTGTCAAGGTCTAGTGGGAGGACCAATGGGAAGATGAATGGAAGGCCTCAGATTTATTATGGATGCCAATAGGAATAATCAACACTCTCAGTGAGCATGGTCTCTGATCTGCCAACTATCTAGCCATTCATAGGGCCATTGAGGGTTCCATCTGCCACAGACAGGTAGTGCCCATAAGACTACTGCTAGAGTTTGATTGAAGCAGGGTGTGGGGGACTTTGTGTGTGGGAGCCTTACTGTATAAGTAACATCAAGGGGAAATTAGCAGCAGCATTAGAAATAAGATAAACAAGGAAAAAAAGAATGGATATACAGGTCTGGTCTCGTCATCTTAGGAGAGCTTCCTGCCTCAGATGTTGTCTGTTTTAAGTCTTGAAAATCTTTACTTTTTTTTTAGATCATAGGTCAGTGTGCAAGTCTATTTGGGTTTTGGAGCTTCCTTCAGGTGTAAAACATGAATCCAAGAATCTGTTCCTTGGAACTTGGAAGGAAGTCTCTTTGGAGGTGTCTTTTACAATAAACAAAACCTCCACGTTGTAAAATGTGGTGTTTGAGATTTTCATCTCCTGGGTGTGCATTATGAAAACATTGCTCTACTAAAACATGGCTATTTTCAGTGGATGTTTGCTTTAATTAGTTTTGGATCAAAAGAGACAGGAGTTAAAAGCATGGTGTGCCCAATAATTAATTCAAAGTGTGAGAGTTTATGAGCTCCAAAGGGGCTGAATCTAAGATTTGGAAGGACTAACGGCAATGCTTATGGCCAAAGTATTTGGAAGGTTTCCATAAATTTTGCCAGTTGAGTTTTGATTATGTGGTGTGTCCACTCAACTAGTAGCATTGGGAGGACTGATTAGGGGAATAGAAGTGTCTGGAGTGCTGAAATTTATAACAGTCCATTTTCCAATATATTGTGGGGTTTTTTTTGTTTGTTTATAGTAATGGCAGAGGCAGGTGGGTTTTGTTTAGGGGCTTCCATCTTTTAAAGTTGTAGATTAAGAACCTTAGTGTTTTTTCTTTTAGTTGAATTATCTGGGGTACAGACAAGCTGGTTTGCTAGACTGACAAAATCTGAAGTGGACATAGTCTCCCATGTTCCCAAATTAATGAAACTAGAACTCAAATAAAAAGAAGATATAATACCCCATCTCCTCAAACTATTCCAAAAAATCCAAGAAGACGAACACTTCCAAACTCATTTTATGAGGCCAACATAATCCTAATTCCAAAACCGGATAAAAACACTACAGAGAAAGAAAATTACAGGCCCATATCCCTGATAAATACAGATGCCAAAATCCTTAACAAAATATTAGCAAATCGGATCCAGCAATACATCAAAAAAATTATTCATCATGACCAAGTGAAATTCATCCCAGGCATGTAAGGATGGTACAATATTTGCAAATCAATAAATGTGATACACCACATAAATAAAATAAAGAATAAAAACCACATGATCATATCAATAGATGCTAAAAAAGCATTTGACAAAATCCAGCATCCATTCCTGATAAAAACCCTCAGCAATCTGGGAATAGAGGGATCATATCTCGACATAATAAAGGCCATATATGAAAAACCTAAAGCCAACATCACACTCAATGGGAAAAAACTAAAAGCATTCCCCTTAAGTACGGGAACAAAATGGGGATGCACACTTTTGCCACTCTTATTTAACATAGTACTGGAAGTCTTAGCCACAGCAATTAGACATGAAGAAAAAATAAAGGGGATCCACATTAGAAAGGAGGAAATGAAACTGTCATTATTTGCAGATGACATGATGTTGTACATAGAAAACCCTAAAGACTTCATTAAAAATTTACTAGACTTAATAAATGAATTTGGCAAGGTACCGGGACATAAAATTAACATCAAGAAATCAACGGCATTCTTATACACCAATGATGAACTCACAGAAAGAGAAACTAAAAAAACAATCCCATTTACCACTGCAACAAAAAATTAAGATATGTAAGAATAAACTTAACCAAAGAAGTAAAGGATCTCTTCACAGAAAACTACAGGTTATTGAAAAAAGAAATAGAGGAAGACATAAAAAGGTGGAAGTATATATCATGTTTATGGATTGGAAGAATTAACATCATTAAAATGTTCATACTACCCAAAGCAATCTATAGATTCAATGCAATCCCCATCAAAATACCAATATTTCACAGAACTAGAACAAATACTCCAAAAGTTTATATGGAACCAAATAGCCACAGCAATCTTGAAAAGAAGAACAAATAGGAGGGATCGCAATACCAGATTTCAGGTTATACTACAAAGCCACTGTAATCAAAACAGCCTGGTACTGGCACAAGAAAAGGCATATAGATCAATGGAACAGAACAGAGAACTCAGAAATTGACCCAAGCCATTATGCTCAATTAATATTTGACAAAGGTGGCAAATGCATACAGTGGAGTAAAGAAAGCCTCTTTAATGAATGGTGTTGGAAAAAATGAACAAATACATACAAAAATAATGAAACTTAGACCACCAATTTCTATCATACACAAGAATAAAGTAAAAATAGATATAAGACTTAAGTGTAACTTGTGAATTCATAAAAATCCTAGAAGATAATATAGGCAACAAAATTTCATACATCATACGCAGCAGAATTTTCACTGATACAAGGCCTAAAACAAGAGAAACAAAGGAAAAAATGAACACATGGGACTACATCAAACTACAAATCTTCTGCACAGCAAAAGAAACAACCATTAAAATTGAAAGGTAACCCACTATATGAAGAGCATAATTGCCAAGGATCCATCAGATAACTGGTTAATTTCCAAAATGTATAGAGTGCTCATAGAAGCCAACAAAAGGAAGACAAAATACCCAATTAAAAAATGGGGAGAGGACCTAAATAGACATCTCACCAAACAGGACATGCAAATGGCCAAGAGACATATGAAAAAATGCTCCATGTCACTAATCATCAGAGAGATGCAAATTAAAACAACTATGAGGTATCACCTCACACCTGTCAGACTGACTGCCATCAACAAATCATCAAACAACAAGTGCTGGCGAGGGTGTGGAAAAAGGGGACTCTAGTACAGTGCTGGTGGGAATGCAGACTGGTATAGCCAATGGAAAACCCTATAGTGTTACCTCAAAAAGTTAAAGATTGAACTGCCATTTGACCCAGTCATCCCACTTCTAGGAATATACCCTAAGAAGTCTGAAACAGCAATCAGAAAGAATATATGTACCCCTATGTTCATAGCAGCACTATTTACAATAGCTAAGATGAAACAGCCCCATGTCATCATCTGTATTTAGTGCAGATGGGATCTACATGATTGGAAAATTAATAATATC